AACATAACTTCTTTCACATAACTTAAAATCATGTAATATTTCTTATTTGCACTCACGTGTTTTATTGTACGTATGCATATAGCGTGTGTTTTTATTTATATTTAGTATTAAATTAATCTTTAATTTTAATTTACCTACATTTAGTTAATTAAAGTAAAATATATTTACGACATAAAGGCCATTTGCACAACACTCGCGATCATAATTTTAGCGATAAGATTCTCTGAGGAAATTTGGAGTTGATTTCTTCTTCGCGAAAATGTAGAGATGTTTTCCTTCGCATGAAGTTCCTTTTGAACTAACACGTTTCTTTGCATTAAGGCGAGGCTTTCAATTTCAGGCCGGCTAAACATATCATAAAGAAAAGTAACGACCAGCCGCCAATTACGAGTAAGCCACTGTATACGTCCAACTCATATATCGATTGTCCTTTGTCCATTACTCCTCTAAGAGATATGGTCGGCAAAGTCATCGGCATGGCGTAGTTGATCCAGCGAAGTGCCTTCGGCATGCCTTCCACTGGCCACAAGGTTCCTGTCATTTGTCACATAAATTGAACCATTAGCAAAATGACCAAAATAACCAAAAAAGTTAGTTTTACAAGATATGAAAAAAGGAGGCTCACCGCACAAGACTATCAGTGGAAAGAGACTTCCGGCTGAGGCATAATGAGCCGTACTATAATTATTGGATATAACGGAGATGAAGAAACCTGAATCAATATCATTAATTAGTTTCTTTAGCAAATATCGTGTTGTTATCTGGATGATAAAATAAAATGAGAAGAGCTTGTTACTACCATATAATTATTTCTAAAATGTAAAAAAGTGAATCTATATTAGCAGCTTAAAGAATTAAAATAAGGGACAAAAACAAAGAAAGCCATTTCCTTGTAAATCTTTTCTGTGATCCTCATGAGAGTCTTCTCAGGTGTTGTACACTAACAAAAAGATACTTGACAATTTATTTGTAGGATATAAAGCTGTCAATTATTATTTAATATTATTATTATTATTAAATTCAATCAATTATTATTAATATATTTCTGTAAGATAAAGTTTATTTTTGTGATATAAACTTTTATTTCTCACAAATAAATTTTCAAGTTTTTTTCTCAGTATATATAAAATATTTACCATACATCAATCCACAAATACTGCTGAGTAAGCCAAACCAGATTACAGCGAACATCGATCCTGCGCATTTCAAGCCCCAGATGGGAAAACACAAGCATAGCGTCATCGCGGTGTTAATAATTATGATGACGTTTTGGACTAACATATGAGATAGCAGGATTTCTGCGGTTGTCACTCCTATCGTAAATTACCCGATGTATATACAAGGTGTTCCTTTATTAATTCTTTATTCGTTCGGCGAACAATTGTTCAAAAATTACCTTGAACAAGACTTCGGTCCCAAACACCCTCCAACCGTTCTGTGACCATTAAAGATGTGGAGGTAGTGGTGGCTAAGAAGAAGAGAAGTCTAGAAAAGCGTAAAAGATCTGGTGTACACTGCCGGATACATAGTATGTCTTAATTAAACTTAATTGTTGCGAGATAAGCAGAACTCAACACTTATTAAAACGATAATCCCTATATGAATAGCTTTTTATCATTACTGTGATAGTTTTATATGATTATTATACTTGATACTTTTAGTTGCTTACGTTATTATGTAGCCCGGAGCCATATAACGTCTGTAGTCGGTATTTAACTCTCCATAAAGCGGTTTCTCGAACTGAAATTTCGTTTGGAATTTTACTTTTAGTCTATGTAACTATATCTTAATGTTTTGAACTTCCTAATTAATAATAATTGATTCCGTGGAATCATAACTTCAATAAACAGCAATACGCACTCTTAACAACAAAAGTTTGACACAGTTATGAATTTAATTTTTAATATGTTCCTTTGTTCGATTAGCTTCTCGTTCGACTCTAATTTAAATTATAGCGCGATATATAAAATATACTCACTTGAATAGGCAGATTGGCGAACTTCGGTGAAATCCCGCAATCTTTCGCTACGTCCTCGTAAACCTCAAAGAAATAATCAAATAACTTCTTCTGAAGAAAAAGCCCGATCTCTCTATCTATCGGACAAACGCCATCGCAGATTTAACCGTTTGAATGCTTCATTTCTATTAGCCTAATAACTAATGGGTACATACCACCCATATCGAGAAAAACCTGAATTTGCCCAGCGACAATGTCGGCTTCGTCGACACCGATCAAGTTGTTCAATCGATTCTGCAGAGCTTCGGAGAAGTTTCGACTAAAGTACATGACGCCGGCGAGTTTGCCGTTGGGTACAGCATCATTTGCCTCGGATATGTCGTCGTAGTATTTCTGCCAGAAGAATATCAAGATAGCAATGTCGTCAAATTTGTTCGAGATTCGCTCTTTCGTTCTGTTTTTATCTGCTGGCGCGAGAGTTAGGCGCGGATAAATTGATGCTGCAGTACCTTCATCGCTGTCGCATCGTTGATCTGCTGTAGGAACTTGCAACTGACGTTGCCGATGTGGCAAGTGTACTCTTGCTCATTATACCAGATGTTCGCGAAGTTACCGTCGCAATTGCCGGCTTCGTCGTTAACAATGCCGATTGTCAGACCCTTTGGATCACCGCCGACCCCGATGAAAAATGTACTCACTTGAAGTATTGGGAATAATATAGCGAAGGCTATTCCTCTAAAAAACAGATTATTTCATTCGTAAAAGAATAATTAGTGTGGTAGTAGAAAAATTCTTCAGTTACGTAAATAGATCCATAAATATTGTACGTATCATTCCTTTTAATTTGATTTTGGCGCCGCGCTAGCGCCTAGTGACAACTCTCGACCACGTAGAGTCTTATTTTTTTATTAGTGGGGATAAGTGAATCAGCGCTAAGTTAGCCATTGGGTGCGTTCCGTTTCCACGCATAATGCGCATGAAGCGCAGCGTTAGGGCTATCGCACACAAATTAACATAACTGCATATGCATAGCATAAGATCGTATGGACCAATGAGCATCGAATATTAAGCATCGAACACCAATATAGCGACTTAATACTCGATGCTCATTGGTACATACGGTCTTATGCTATGCATATGCAGTTATGTCAATTTGTGTGCGATAGCCCTTAGAGTGACAGAAATACGAAAGTAAGATAAAATGAGAGGGAGAGCACTCGGGTGAGGTTCTCGAACCTAGGTTAGGTTAGTTCTCGAACGCATGAATTGCATCAGCTCCGGGGTGCGTTCGAAAACATCACCCGTGTGTATTTTGTCACACTCAGATCGTTCGAAAACCCCTAGTGGGCACACTGACCATGCGACCATGGCCGTTCGAAAACCGTACTCCGTGGACCACTCGTGTGACTTTTCTCCACTCTCTTTTACGCGGTGTGAATCGGTGGAGATGGTGGAGAGTGCGCAAAGAGTGCAATACAGTATGAAATTACTAAATTATTTATGGTTTTTTGTTCTTCGAAACATTCGTACAACCATTAGCCATCACGGTAAGATAAAAAATTTAAATACAGCAGTGTAGGTTAGCCAGGTTTAGGTTTATTTCTATAGTGATGTATATTGTCAGAATATTGTCTTTAAATATAAATAAAGCTTATTAAGCTTTTTGTATTTTATAGGTTCTGAAATTTTCTTACGAGATACGAGGCACGTTAAAAGTCACGAATCAGTAACAATTTGTGAAAAAAAATGGAAAATTTAATCTCGGGTCGTCATATTTTATGCATGGATATTTAAAAAAATATACAAAAGGATGACAAGGGAAATGTCTATATATACGATGTTAAAGGTAAGGAGTAATAAATAAGTTTATAAATTTCCTTAGGCCTGGTGCCCACGATGCTAGAAATCGATCCGAGTTCTCGGACCGAGGAATATATAATCAATTAACTTTCCAGATAACTAAATTATAAATTAATAATTACTAAATTAATTAATTAATTACTAAATTTATTAATTTATTATTATTTTGCTGAGAAGCAATTATAGCTAATGTCGAAATACGCTTTCGATCATTTTGTACAACATATGTAGGCACAACACACATGTAGTATGTCACATTGAGCATTCTTCCATGGCTGTTCGAAAACTCCTCTCGATACCAACTCCACTAACCCCACCAAGCCCATCCACCACAGTCACTTTCCGTCGTGGACTTTCAGTGTTTTCGAACGCACCCCAGAGGTAGTGCAGTCTATGCGATCTCATGCGTTCGAGAACTAACCTAACCTAGGTTCGACAACCTCACCCGAGAGCTCTTCCTCTCTTTTTATCTCACTCTCGTATCTCTGTCACTCTAACGCTGCGTTTCATGCGCATCATGCGTGGAAACGGAACGCACCCATTATTACACAGGCTGAGTGTGCGGAGGCGCTGGTGACACTGGTAGAAGAATAAGTTTTTGTTGTTGAAGTAGCACGTTACGTTCGCTTCTGTTCTCAAGTAAAGCGTATTACCCATTTTAAATACGGCCCAATGAAAAATTTTTCATATATAATTATATAAAATTATATAAAATTATATATAATTATACATAATTATATATTATTATGTATCAAATTTGTCCATTCATGTTCATACATTCTACTTATATATATAATTATATATAATTATGTATAATTATATATATAAATTCATATATAATTTTACATAATTACGCATAGATTTATATGTAATTATACATATTGTTATACATAATTATGTATAATTATATATAATTTTATATGATTATATATAATTATATATAATTATGTATGGACAAATTTCATACATAATTTTGCATGAAAAATTTTTCATCGGAGGCATTTGATTATTCTTTTCCCTATCAGCTTACCGATCATTCGCTGATGTAATGCGTTTCGCATTGAAATATCATACAAATATGATGCATGATAATTAAACTCACGAGTAATGGCGCAAAAACTGAATGCCATTTTTAATCATTAGAGCTCTAAATCTTCTCAGTCTCGGAACCCTTCGTTTCGGAGTGGCCTTGAATTTTGAAACTTTATCCTTAACAGTCCAGAAATAAAAGAAACGATGATTAATAAACATTAATTAATATAATCATTAGTTATTAATAATTACCAATGAGTTAATAATTGTCTAGATAATAGTAATTGTAATCTAATAATAACAATCATAATCTAACGTTTATGTGGAGCTTTTTACCTTTGCTCTCCTGTTTCGCTCCTGGCAAAGAGGTTCATTTTCAGAACTCTCTGTTTTATTCTTCTGAGCCGTGAACCCGCTGACGGCCATATTGTTATTTTCCTGTGTTTGACTCAGTATCAGGAACACCTCTTCCAACGAATTGCATTGAAATCGTTCCAGTAATTGATATGGCGATGACTCCGCCAAAAGATGGCCACATCTCATTAAACCGATCTAGACATTAAAGATTAAAATCTAATCTACAACGTGCTCTTCCTGCTTCCTCTTCATTAATTTTTTAAATTTTGACTTTTAAACCAACAAAGAATAGAGAATAAGAAACAGGATGTAAAGAGCACATTATAAATTAGGATTAAATAACAGATATCACCAGTGGCATAGCCAGAAAAAAGTTTCGGGGGGCTGTACTTTTTATTTTTGACGAGCAAAAAAAGGTCATTCGAAAAAATTTTTCTCACACTTAGCGTAACCCAGAAAATTAATTTTGGGGGGAGCTGCAGCCCCCTCATCCCCTCCCCCTGGCTACGCTACTGATTGTGAGTATTCCGTCAGAGCAGAAATGGTAACTGACTTTATCCGCGTCCTTGGTTTCCTCAATGTAGTGCGTCGTAATTACCACCGTGGTATTCTCGTTCTGCGTGATTTTAACCAGGTAGGCCCAAATACTGAAGAAAGAAAGAACACTTATAATTGGCTAATTACGTCGTTAATTTCCCGTTATATTTCCCAAGTCTCTAGAACGCGCGTTCAAAAGAGCGAGGAGCAAAATCTACTTGCTTTTCTTTCAAAATTAGATCCAGACCGACAGTGGGCTCGTCCAGGATCAAGAGTTCCGGACGGTGAATTAAAGCGACGGCAAAAGACACCCTCCTCTGCTGACCGCCGCTCATATTCTTCACCAGCTGATTCTCCGGAGGTAATTGGAGCAATTCCGAGAGGAACTTTTGCCTCGTCTCTGCAAAACATGGCAAAAAAGTCTCGGTTATTTTCACACCAGTGTCTTCATCGAATCCCTGTCCTACCGATTTCGTCATTGTCAAGACCATTTATCCTGCCGAAGTAGTAAAACGCATCGCTCCTCGTGAATTCGCCGACGAGAGAGATCTCCTGCGGCATGTAACCAACTCGGGGCCCGGGAATCCCGGAGCCTTCGCTGCCGGGATTTCCACCCAGGACCCACACATCTCCACTGTTAAGACGTTGAACCCCAACGATGCAGGATAACAAGGTGGTCTTGCCACAACCGCTGGCACCCAAAAGCCCATAACTGTTTCAAATAATAAAAACAGATACGAAATTTTGAATTGCAATTAATGATCGAATAATGGAACTTCCAAGTTCTAACTTTCAGTTTCTAACAGTGGCTGACCCGACTAGAATTTTATCCCGCAGTTCCAATCAGGTTGACCCCAATTAACTATCTAGTTAGCGATATTATCTTTATTTATCTTTTATTATAAAATGCTAATTATTAATAATTCCTACTATATTCTTATTTTAATTCTTATTCTTATATTCTTATCTCTTGATTGTTCCATACTGCGTAACATAACTTGTTAGAATCTTATAACATCACCTTTTACAATTCAAACAACTTTCGAATCAATCTGGTCACAGGATAAATTTTTCGGAAATTAGTCGGAAATCTATGTTTGATTAGAAGAGAAAACTACATTATTTATTTCTCCAAAGTCCTTGTATATTTGCATACTTATCTAGCCACATTTGCATTTCGTTGAATGGTGTTTATAGTTCCTCATGCAAATTGCAATCAGTCTGAACGTTCGGACGATAGGTACGTGACTCATAAAAATTCACGTTATTTAATAGCAACGGCTATCCCGCAGATCGTTAAATCCGTGAGCAAATAACAATTTTCCGTCGGCAAAAACGATTGGCTAACACACCTGTAGTATTTGGCATTAGCAAGTTTGATCTAACGTTTTCTTTAAAATAAATAAAGGAAGGCGGAAGGTGTGCCGCGATATCGTTTACTTCCACATCAATACAGAAAATAGGAGAGTCGTAAAAATTAGCTTTCGTTCACCCGGACTTTTTGTTCTCGCTAAATAATGCAAGATCATAATATAACGTCTACGGATATGATGTTGTTATCGAATGCAACATCATAAAATCATCGAGCGACCTCGCGATTTGCTTCAGTTTCGTCGCGACGCAATGATGATCTTCATTATTATTCTGTCGCTCGTAGTAAGAGCAATCTCCTCTTTATTATTTGTACAGGGATCGTCATCAACGCTCGACGACGACACAGCATCGATTGATCTTTTCTCGAATAAATCTAACGATGGTGTTAACGAACTGGTTGAGAAATTGCACGGGACAAAGCGGATTCGTCTGACAATCGATCTCGTTGAGAAGATCATCAATATTCAGCAGGCGATGCTGGAAATTAACGACGGAATCGATCACCATCAGAATTATCTCGGTGAGTCGATTTTCACTCAAGATAAATGTCCTAACTGACTGAACTAGTACGAAAGTATAATCATATATTTTTATATTAATAAATATTAATAAATATTAATAATTAATAAATATTATTAACAGATATATTTTTATTAATAAATAATTAATGGAATTAATTATATAATATAATCTAATCTAGTAATGTAATCTAAATGCAAGTGAAAAATTTATTAAATCTACGAAAAACGGAAAACGGAAAGAAGCTCTTACGAACACAATATCGCTTATATTATTCCAAGGGAATGTCACGAACGTTCAAAAAATCTTCTCTCGTAGGACATTTCAACTTCCTTGGAACGTTCCTTGGAGCAAAGATCAGAATCATGCAAAATCAGCCTCATGTATCTGAGACAAAGATGGACAAGATATCGGCAATGGATGAGATTCTGAAAGCGGTACATCAAGTCTTACCAATGAAAAAGTCCGCAAAGATACCGTCAAAAAAACCGAAAGTGACATTTGGGATGTCTTGATGCCCGGCGACCCGCAAAAGATTTTGAAAGTTCTAACAGATCCTTTCTACAGCACAGCTTTTGTAATGTAATTTTAGTCGAGTACATGATGTTATACACTGCAGCATGTAATTCGTAGATTCAACGTCATAAATCGAAAGGGTTTCCTTTTCTATCCGTACATTCACACTAGGCGAAAACTGCATGACTATTGTGTAACATATTACGTCACGGACAGTAATTTAAGCAGTCGATGAATGTTTGCGTAAAATTGCATGACGATAGTTTCTGCACATTTACGCAAATACGGATAAGGCAATTAGTATTGAGCCGTCGTGGAAAGCTTGCCCTGCGTTTGTGGAATGAAGCGGAAACGCTATATGGTATCGGAATGATTACATATCGTTAGATCAGATGAAAAAGGAAAATTACAAGTTAAATTTTTAATGCGAAAATGATCTGAGATGCAATTCTATCCAATTGACGACTCATAATGTATGATAATTGCCACGGTTACAGGAACATCGCGTACATATCGATAAGTGTAGCGATTACTCACATGGAACCTCTAGACACCGTCATGTTCAGGCCATCGAGCACTACTTTCTCGGATCCGTAACGCTTTGTAGCGTTCCTCACGACGACAGCCTCCTGTTGCACCATTTCGCGAAATGGTGAGGATTGCTCGCTCAATGATGAAACTGCGACAGAAATTTTTTTCCGTTTAAATTCGAGACAATGTTCTTAAAACGATCGTTTTGTGCGATTTACGAAGAAACAATGCCTTTATTCTGATTTGATTTCTCCTATTAGAAACTTCATCGCTTAAAAATATAAAAGCGATTTTTTTCAGAAGAAAATTAAGCACCCTTAAGACTACGAGCATTTGACGATTCAATGTTCGGTAATCATTTACGGAGAATATTCTGAAGCAGAACAAAAAATCTCGATGATGTCGAAATGACAAAGAAAAAAGATCGGACCATGATTAAAAAGCGGATTTTTTAGTTTGTTTACGTCATTTGGATGTTACTGTGAAATTTCTTGTCCTATTTACATTTATACTTAAAAAAAAATGTAAAATGTACACTCAGTTGAGTTGATGCTATACCATTCCCCAAATCGATAGTCACTAAAAAGTTTTGACCAGCCGTGTCCATTTCTAGCTGATCATTTTTCATGACTGTTGATTCATCTGGCAAGCGGGATGTGTCAAAATAGAAGTGACATTTTGACAACTTGACTCATACATACGTGTTTTTATCAGAAGGTTATCCGCTCACGTGTAACGCGCAATCAGAAGAAGAAGAGTAAGCATGTTAAAAAAGATAAGTAAGAAGTTTTTACTTTATTCGAATAAAGTAAAATGTTTATTAATAACGAATAATTTGAGAGCAAATCGCGTGAAAATATTAAAAGCAGAGACTCTTTGTGTCTGTATGTGTATAAATTTATTATAATTTTGTATATTAACTTCTTACTTACCTTTTTTTAATTCTTACTCTTCTTCTACTGATTGCGCGTTACACGTGAGTGGATAACCTTCTGATAAAAACATGTATGTATGAAACGTCAAGTTGTCAAAATGTCACTTCTTTTCTTTTGACACATTCCCGCTTGTCAGATGAATCAACAGTCATGAAAAATGATCAGCTAGAAATGGACACGGCTGGTCAAAACTTTTTAGTGACTATCGATCTGGGGAATAGTATAGCATCAACGCAACTGAGTTGCGATTTATGTTTATTTTATGCACTGCGATTTATGTTTATTTTATGCAGTTTAAAACTACTTCAAGTGTATTACAAAAACTCACTTATCAATTATCATTTATTTTAACTCACTCATCATTTATTTCATGCAATTTATAAATACTTCAAGTATTAAATATTCATTTGTCAATTACGATTCAAACATTTTCTTGTCATGCTGATATCATGATTTTCCGTTCTACTTGGATAAGTATTATTAGACATTTTTTGTATCGAGCAACATGTTACGTTGCAACATAATAGTATTGCTGAGACGACCCTTCTCTTTGCTGACTTGAATATTCGATTTTGCGCTGACGAAAATCATTAAAAAGCAAGCATATGAAAATTAGACTATTATACAAGTCTATAAAAAATGATATTTTACACTTCTTAACAATATCAAAATCCCGTCCCGTAGATTATGCACAGTATATCTTTTTATTTTACTTAACAATAACTTGTAGATACGTTACTCTTAGTTACTTGTAGATACTCTACAATAACTTGTAGATACGTTAGTTATTTCTCTAAAAATATTTCTAGCACAATATGTCTAATAAATATTTCTATAATTTAGTAACTGGAATTTAGTAAGATGTGGTAGACAGAAATAGTTCTAATAAATAAGATAAATGTCCCAGTAATTGAACAATGTTCCAATGATTGATACATTAACAATAGATTTATATTTGACATTTCTAAAAACAATTTTTTGAGATTTTGCTGAAGAATATTTGTTTCTGCGAATTTGCAATGTTATTCAATGAATATTTAATCATTAGGTATTACATAAACTAATCTATTGTTAATGTATCAATCATTGGGACATTGTTCAATTACTGGGACATTTACCTTATTACTTTTTACTACATGTTACTAAATTCTAGAATTAATTTTCATAACGGAATAAAATTGTGTAGAATTCTTTTGACTGACATCAGACGGAATAAATATTGGATAATTTGTGGCTATATTATGAATATACATTATGAATATATATGAATATACATTATGAATATATATTATGAATATACATTATTATGTAACGGTTACGTAATATTGAATTGCGTCAGCTATGAGACCATCAGCTATGTGACTTACAACTAATATATCATCAAATATACAAGGTGTCCCGAACCTCCATGATGATCCTTGGTGAGAACGTAAAACGGATTGAGGTGAGCAAGAAAGTCCAGTGCCGTTTTGCGATATTCGCAATAATAGTCGAGATATTAATTAAAAAAGATTGGTGAATGATTACGCGTGATATGGTAGATGAGCCGCAATGGGGCCGTCTGCCGTTGTATACTTATATATTAAGTCAAACTGAACAAAAAAGTCCTCTACTATTTTGCAAATGACCACATAGATTTTTAAATATTAAAGAATTGCAAAAGACCACATAGATTTTTAAATATTGTTACATATATGATTGTATACCATAATGCATAAATTTTCTTTAATTAATATCTAAATATCTATATATATATGGTAATTTACAAAATGGTGAAGGACATTTTTGTTCAGTTTGATTCAATGTATAAGTATACAACGCCACTGCAGCTCATCGACCATATTGCGCGTGATCATTCACCAATCTTTTTTAATTAATATCTCGACTATTATTGCGAACATCGCAAAACGGCACAGGACTTTCTTGCTCACCTTAATCCGTTCTACGTTCTCACCAAGGGTCATCATGGAGGTTCGGAACACCCTGTATATGTGGCTTATAAATAGTTAACACTAAGTTAAAATATTGTTTTACTAAATTAATCAATTTTTCTGATAAAACAAAAAATCATAACGATATTATCAATAATATAGATGAAAATAACGAAAATATTATCAAAAAATTTACTTTTCCATCACGATTTGATTATTTTCTAGTCATTTTGATGTCATCGTAATTTTCTACTTGGGTTATTTACATGAATACATTCTGCATCGATACTTTCTCTAAAACAAGCAGATCGGTTTCCAATATACAACAAATTCAATATACTAGATATTAGATTTGGTTTTCGGATTTGAGCCGCATGGATTCAGGCAAAGAAGAATCCACGCGGCTCAAACCCAAAAACCAAATCTAATACTTAATCTAAAACCAAATCATGGACACCGCGAAAGCCTCAAATATCAATTTCAATATATAACAAATATGTTTATATTATATTTGAAGTAATCGATGTAACATCTAGCGATAAGTATAGCGCGCCTAACTGGCAATTAAATATAAGTAGAGATCGAAACTTGCTATTACGTCTTACAAAAGCTGAATAATTATGGAGTAAAAAAGCAATGTGTTTATGTATTACATGGGCAATCCTAATTCTATACTATTCTGGGTTTGTTCACCTATTCAGATAATCACGTATTTGCGGAAGATTCAGTCAAATGCAAACAGATATAAAAAAAAAATAGACCTCTTAAAGTGAATGAGAGAGAGAAAAAGAGAGAGAGAAGGAGAGAGAGAGTCAATTGGAGAAGATGTTTTTTTCTTGTTTAGTTATTATATAATTATGTCACCTTGCCTTTTTCGAAGATATTTATAGCTATTTAATGCACTGTCTTCTTCTTCTAAAGAAAAAGATAATATATTATAAAAACTTATCGCACACGCACAATATTGCATGTCTACGTATATATAAAGTAAAAAACAGTCAGAAATCTGACGATATATAACCGAAATATAAAGATTTATTGTTAACATATAAAAATATGGGAAGTTCTTAAACTATTTAAACAACTATTTTACATTCATACGTGTGTATAAAAACGTTGAAACAAACTTAAAATATAGTCTTTTAAAATCGCACTTTTGAAAAATTTGAATAAGTCTATTTGAAAAATAGACTGCGTTATATTTTTCTTATTTATAATTTTTTATTTTTTATTTTTTTATCAGGACCTTGAATAAGTTCTCGCTGTTTTCCAACATATGGCGTTACCAGAACTGCGTGCGTGTAGTTTAAGATGGTAACGCATCTATAAGGAAGTACTATAAGCAAGCTTGAAATTCAGTGTATGTCATTTCGCCGAAGTGTAAACAACTTTTTCTTTCATAGTGTTAAACATGTCGAGTTTCGTGCCAAAAAAAGAGTATTTGCGGGGAATTTTACTGCACTACTTTATTAAAAAAAAATCTGCAGCTGAAGCACACAGAATTCTTGTTGAGACTTACGGCCATGCTCTGTCGGAAACAACATGCAGAGATTGGTTTAGATGCTTCAAAAATAATGATTTTGATGTTGAAGATAAAGAACGCTCTGGCGCACCGAAAAAGTTTGAAGACGAAGAATTGGAGACATTACTTTATGAAAACTCATGTCAGACACTAGCTGAACTTACAGAATAATTAGAAGTTGATCACACAACAGTTTCGAAACGTTTGAAAGTATTAGGAATGATTCAAAAGCAAGGACATTGGGTGCCATACGAGCCGAGAGACGAACGGCGTCTTTTCATGTGTGAACAGCTGCTTCAACGGCAGAAAAGGAAAGATTTTTTGCATCGTATCGTGACTGGCGATGAAAAGTGGATACACTACGATAACCCTAAGCATAAAAGATCAGGGAGTAAGCCCGGCCATGCATCAACATCGTCGGCAAACTCGAATATCCATGGTTCGAAACTTCTGCTCTGCATTTGGTGGGATCAGCTGGGTGTAGTTTATTATGAGCTGCTCAAACCGAACGAAACCATCACGGGACATCTCTATCGACTACAATTGATGCGTTTAAGCTGAGCATTGAAGGAAAAATGGCTGCTATACGAGCAGAGATACGACAAAGTGATTTTGCAACATGACAACGCTCGGCCACATGTTGCACAACTGGTGAAAACCTATTTGGAAACGCTTAAATGGGAAGTCCTACCCCACCCGCCGTATTCACCAGACATTGCCCCTTCCGATTATCATTTGTTCTGATTGATGGCACATGGTCTGGCTGAGCAGCACTTTCATTCTTATAAAGATGCCAAAAAATGGGTCGACTCTTGGATAGTCTCAAAAGACGTGTCGTTTTTCCGACGTGGAATTCAAATGCTGCCAGAAAGATGGGAAAAAGTAGTGGCTAGCGATGGACAATACTTTCAGTGACATGTTTTTTACGACTTTTTTTAAATAAAGCATTAATTTTCACGAAAAATCAGCGAGAACTTATTCAAGGTCCTAATAATTTTTTTTACTTATCGTTTGTATGCTGATTTAGATTGATTTCGAATATTTTAACATGTAATTTTTCAACCGATGGATTTTCTATTTCTTGAAAGATTTTATTCTTTAAAAAAGTAAGATGTTTTACGAGTGACATGAATGTCGACTAACCGAGATATGTATGTAGAGCACACAATGTATTACAAAATAATCACACAAATAATTGACATTTCACGAAAGTTATCACTCATTCGTGTTATTATACTGACCTGCGAAGAACGTATTTTAAATATTTAGCATTGCACTCTTTGAGTCATTCGGCGCGAACTGATAGCTGCTGAACAGCTAAACAGTCTTTTATAGTTTCAGTCCCCACTTTTTCCACACATAAATACAAAAATTAATTTTTTATGCAAAACTTATGCAACTTACAATTTTTCAAATTAAGTATCATTATTTTAACTGGGATTATTTTGTAACGCTCTTACGTTACGTGCGGGATAGACTTAGTCGGTGCGGTCCAAGGTTTAGCTCAATAAATTAGAAACAGTGGCATAGGTAACGAGAAGTGTAAAATATATTCTTATAAACGCTATTTACAAGTATTTACAGAGAGCGCGACGCCGTTGGTGCGTGGTCGCGTTTTTGCTCACGTCGTGAGTCTTATAGCGTTTTTCATTGGCAGAACTGATGCGCACTGAGTGCGCACTAAGGCTTGTTTACAATACATTTTCATATTTAAGATCGTGTCTTAAATACATATTTAAAAAAATTTTAGGTAATAAAGTGATTCGTACGTATGTTATACATATTATATTACTGGTTAAAAATATTTGAGAATTTATTTAAGATAATCTTTCAATATAATAACATACTGTGAACAAGCCTTAGTGCGCATTCAGTGCGCACCAATTCTGCCAATGAAAAACGCTATTATCAATCAAAAAATAGGAAAAAGGGCAATTCGAGTTCAAGCACAGGACTAATGGTGCTATGTACCATATGAGTAAAACCTTCCTTGTGTTAGGAAATCGTGTAATGTTTATTGAACATGAATAATCAATATAAATAATCAGACGTTTCAATCATGAACCTTCTTCAGTGATAATAAAAACTCAAGGATTACAATACGAACGCATTAACAATTAATTAAAGACCTGATTAAAATGACATGAATGTTAATCGCAATATTAAAGCTGACAAGACCGTTACCGAAATAATATTAAGTAGTCAATTTAATATTAAGAAATAGCCGTCATAACTATAAAAAATCATAAAATAAAATAAAAGTAAGTAAAATTGAAATATAATAAATAATTAAAACAGACAATATAAAATACTTTTGTTGAGCTCAGCTAAAAGTAAAACGATCCTGTCAACGATACCATCGTCTAAGAAATACAAATAATTACAGATTTATATAACCGAGCATTAACATTGCGGCAACGACTCGTGGAAGAGAAGGAAACCAAAACCAAGTTTATTTTCATAACAAGCGGCAGTAGCTGCTGCCCAAATATTTAGTGTCCTTTTGTGAGTTAAGACCATACTTTTGAAATTTGATGAAAATCGTTTCTGAAATCAGGCATTTCAAGTAAAAACGTTCCTCATGTAAAATTTTGGCATGATCCCAATCGAAATCATGGTTCTTCCTCAAACGGTGTTCCTGTATGGCCGTTAACTCCACCGTAGAACTCCTAGGAATTCTCCTATGTTCGGCAATACGTGTAGAGAGTCTTCTACTAGTTTGACCAACATATAACGCCTCACAACCACTGCATTGCAACCTACATACAACGTTATTATGGAAACCAAGAGGAAACCTGTCTTTATCCACACGAATTAATCCTGATAATTTATTAGTGCAAGAATAAGTAATATTTGTCAAATTATTTTTAAAAAGCTTTGCCAGTCTTTTCGAAACCGAACCACAAAATGGTATGGTAAAAGACTGGCAAAGCTTTTTAGAAATAATTTGACAAATTTTAGAAATAATTTGACAAATAAAAATTGTTGTACTTTAGATCAAAATAATACATTTTTTTTATTATATATGCCCTTTCGCAAGTTTAGGGGGTAAAATACCCTTTTGAAGAAAATCGTTTTTTTCATTCAAAGGGAATATAATGAAAATTATAAGAGATAGAAAAACTATTTAAAATAAAAGTTGAATGTTTTGAAGAATACTTTACAGAAATTATTTTAATAATTATAATAAGAAGTGGTGGAGAAAATATTAACAAAAAAAATTTTTTTTTTCAAATAATTTCTGCAAAGTATTCTTCAAACCATTCAACTTTTATTCAAAATATTTTTTTCTATCTTTTATACTTTTCAAAATATTTCCTTTAAATAAAAAAAAATCGATTTTCTTCAAAGGAATATTTTACCCCCTAAACTTGCGAAAGGGCACATGTAATAAAAAACGTATCTATTATTTTAATCTAAAGTACAATATATTACAAGTTCACAAAAATCGGAGGCGAACACTTGTTTGGGTTTCCTTGTAAGATGTATTAATATTGTTACATGTGTATTGCCCAACGTCTGTATCTGACGGTGAGTTGTGCCGTCCTTGCCTATTTTCCGTATCTGGCCCGTGAGAGACTATTTTATTTAACTTAATTTTATCTAACTGTAGCTAATTTATTTTATATTTATCTTTATAGCTCAGCAACTAAGTCTCGAATAACATTTTACAAGAGGAGAAATAGTCTTAGAATTCGAAATTTAAAAATACGATAATATTAACCGAATGCGATTGTTTCCGATTACCCTGTAGATAAACAGCATTGTTTGTATGAGTTAGTAATATAATTTTATGTAACTTAATTACGCAATTAACCCGACGTAGACAATTAAATTTAAATTTTAATTATATCAATATATATTATGTAACGTCGAAAAGAAACCAAAAGATGGAAAAACGGATCATTTTTTTTGGAGTTTCCTTTGAAAATCAACTCTAATCTGCCCGAAAAAAGAATATGGCATTAGTCCGCTTTAAATTTGTGCGAATCACTCTCCTCGTTCATATAGGAGTCTCTGGAAAAGAAAGGGAGAGACACAAGGAAAAGAAGTTTGTGGAAGCAATCTGTTCAACATTATAACTGGAATAAACACTCTGAAATGTTTCAAACAAAATTTACGCAAATTAATTGCACAAATATTAATGACCTTGTACGTATTAGAATGCTTCTTAACGCGATAAGTGTGCTATACGTTGCATCACACATTAGTCCTCAGCACGTTTTGCGATAGAGAAACTGGAACACACTCGGATGTTAAGACCGTTAGGAGCGCCTCGTCAGACACTGCGGAGGTTTTGGAGCGGTTAGTTGCATGTACAGCGGTAGGATGCTCATGATAAAACAGACGTGAATAGAAGTATCACTCTAAGTCAACGCACTTCGACATTGGTACAGTGCTCTAGTCGAAACGCCTAGTCTGTGCATCGTAGTTGAATATTCATTGTAATTTTTCAAAAATGCATAGGTGCTCGGGAAAAGTATTCGAGGATAGCGTCAAATTTACCGAAATAACATTCATATTATTTCATTAATATTATTTTCATTTTATTAATATTTTTTCATCTTTTTAGCATGTGGAAATTGTACGGTACAATTCACAAATACATCAAGAAAATGTAAATATTGTAGGATTGCAGGAGAGAAAAAGTCTGACACTCGGTTTTCTGTCCTCGCAAATACGTCTCTTTATTAATTATAGAGTTGCTCATACGGCCTTCATGTCCCGCACTCGCGCAATGCATCTGACGCAACTCTTTCTTTGCCCCTGTTTTCTTCGCTCGCATCATTTTTATATCCCGCTTTCGCAACCTGTTGGTGAGATCTTATTGGGACACATGTGAGCATATTCCGGAAAAACAACCACGCTGAAAAAGTGTTTACAAGTATTGCTCGATCAGCTAATCAGTTGATCGAGCTCGCAGCGCGGAAACGCGTTATGCCTGCTATCACGTGTCGCTCGCGTGAGAACCGACTTCTCAGCTGACGCGGCGTCATCCGTCTATTTACTTATTAGTCTTTGTTCAAAATTGCAAACATTCTACGACATACATCCTAAATATACGATACGCTCTCTTTCTTCGACATAATTAATGTGCATTGGGAATATTATAAATAAATAGATAAATAAGGAAGGGTATATAGAAATCATAAAAGATTGGGGGAATAGGGACGCTTTCTTAGTGGAAAGTATAATTCTTGCGTATGTTAATAAAAGACCGGAAATCCCAATGCGCGCGTGCGTTTACACTACAAACATTATTATCCCCTCTCATTATATTATATTTGCACAAACACTAGCACTTAGCTCTTAATGGCCTTATTATTATCATAAAAGTTTGGTTTTACCATCAGAGCTCCAAAGTGAGATGAAATGTTTTTATTTTTAAAATCCTGGAATCATCGTTTGGATTTTTGTTCTTACAGCGAAGTTTTTACGTTTTATCCTAACACTTCCTAATTGTAGGAGAAGCGACAAATTGTTAATTTATAATAGTATATCGACGAACGATATGCCTTTGTCTGTGGGTGATTATGCCACTCACCTGCGATTAAACTCTCGAAAATATCCGACGAAGCACTGCTATTAGATGTCAACTATTACAGTAGTCAGAAATAAGATGATATACAAAATGTGCGTTTGGTTTGGCCACTTGTTGCCCGCTTTATTCATTGATATCTTTCAAAAATGCACAGGTGCTCAGCAAAGGTATTCAAAGATTGCGTCGTATGTACTGAAGTAACGTTTACGTTGACGTTGTTTTATCTCTTTCAAAATATGGAAATTGTACGATATGATAATCAAGGACGCAATTAGTTACTTTGGGATGTACAATTGGATACACAGCGAGGATAACATTCAGGTAATGTCGCGAATCCTGGACAAAAATGATCAGTTTTTATTCGACTTTAACATGAAAGGTTTGGCCGAAATATTTGGAGGATCAATTTACAGGTATACACCTTTACCTGCTTAAGGATGATTTAAGTACTTTGGAAGACAGTCGTATCAAATGGAAGAGGTAATATATTATCGATTTAATAATAATATAAATAAATAAAATAACATTAAATATCGATAAAAGTGAGAGTGTATTCAATTCGACTTAAAATTTTCTATAATATCAAGGAAAGGAACTGATATTTAAAGAATTCAAGGCGACATTAACATTAAAAAAAAAACATTTTTGTCTATTTTTTTGCATGTAGCCTACATGATACAAATGAATGTCCACTTTACAAACTTTTTTCTAAATTATTGAGAATGCCTAAAAAATCGTGCGGACCGTTATACAGCACACTTTATATATTTGCCATTTGTACATATTAATAATTTGTATATATTAGTAATTATGTCATCGGGTCTCGTCCGAATGGAAACTAGGTAGTCGTGTTCCTGCCTGCATTATCAATTATAATTCCCGCTCAAATAAAAACGTGCGGTCCCGCCGCGCACGCCCTTCAGCGTCCGGCGCGCGCATTGTGTTTTCTGTTCTTGCAGAGTCGACAGAGTTTCTTCAGACGTCTTCCTTTTGAGGGTTTTTCTCGCCCCGTAGACCCCGTCGATAGGCCGCGGCATAAGAGAATTCGCTCATCGCATCGGTCAAAGAAAAATAAGCAACTTTTTTATACATACTAAAATACGAGAAAGTTCGACATCGTCGAGGTTCGGTTGGAACTGGAAATCTAAAACGAAAGTATAATATATAATTTCGTTAGTCAGCTAGTTAGTTAATCGGACTAGAATTAAGATTTAATGTATATATATATCCGTATAAATATATACATACGTATATATACATAAGATCGTTTTCTATCTCATTGTATTTTATACAGAAATATGTATATTTTCATCTATTAGAAGAAAAGAAAAATTATAATGAGAGATATTTATTTATTTTTTGTGATACGGACATATTATATAATATTATAAAATTAAGAGAATTAAGAATTATGGCACCAGTGATAGAAATTTTGACTCCCGAGTACGCATTAATATGGAAGGAGATACGCACAAATTCACGCGACCGTGTCCGTGAAGCTCACATGCTGCTCGGGAGTCAAATTTTCTATCACTGTATGCCAAATATATCTTATGGATTATAAGTAGCATACGATGTTAACCAGTAAGCTTATCAAGCGTTTACACACGCCAGTGATACTAATCAAATCACTTCTTGCTTTCATTGCTCTAAGACATTTTTAAATATATTTTAATAAAACAAATTTATTAAATTGAAATGTACACGTTGGCCAAGAGTGAATTTCATTAATACTATAATTAGAATTAAATTAAATTCTACAATATAATATAATAGAGTAAAGGCACCAAAAGCGACGTACCACTTTGTTTTTGAAGGTTATGTAAAGCTCAAACTTTAGTTAGCTCAAACACGTAACAGTTACATAACAAACCACATGGTTGTGCTGACATTACATATCTATGTTATATTACTGGTATATAACTACGGTGCTGGTTTGTTGGGCATGTTAGATATTCACAATCCGGAAAGTTGGGAAAAACTGGAAAGTAGGGAAAAAGAAAAATTTTCCGAGTCTCCACTACCCATTACCAATAATGGACTTAGAAGGTTAAATGGGAAATCTCCGTAGATGTGACTTGTCAGTCTATGTTAAAAACAGCAGCAGAACAATTCACCAAAAATCTTTCTAAAATTTTCTACTAAAAATATTGACATAATATACGATTCTGTTTTTTGCTTATTTTTTTGGTTTAACTTTTATAGTATATAAGTGTCGTACTGTCTTAGTGAAATTAGTGTCACGTTACATATATCTACTCGCAGATCGTAGCTAAAATTAAAAATAAGGACAGTATTACTTCATGCTATTGAACACAGATACTGACAGGATGAGCGACCATTTGTTGCATACTAACGATTTCAATCAACACAAAATTGTGTATTGCGGAAACAATACCAAAATTCAAGGAACGCCGATACAAACATTCTATGCGAACCAGTCGATCTTCATTACAGGTATTTATTGTATAAATTATTATTGTATATGTGCGATGTGATCAACAAAGAAACATTAAATAAAAATTGACACTCATACCGATACCGAGGTTTTGGACTAGTACTCGATTTAGATCCCGGATTACTGTCGCATTTTTCGAGAATTTGTTCCCGACATTCCGCGAAAATTTCAGTATTCTTCTTCAAAAAGGGGAAAAACTTGAAGCTTAACGGTGTCAACACTTGGATGACATTGACGAAATTAGCGGTTTCAGTTCGTTCCTTTCCTTGACGAAATACATTGCAAAGTTTACGAAAAGTTGAAAACAAATTCATGACGAATATAACAAGCGAATATAAAAAGCGAAAATCAGTTCTATCAGTTGACGTAATCGGTCAAACAATAATGGTGGAATATGATTAATTAGGCGGAACTGGATTCCTCGGAAAGGTCTTGATTGAGAAATTGCTGCGAAGTTGTCCCAATATCTCCAAGATATACATGATGATAAGATCAAAGAAAAACAAGAGCGCCACGAGTAGACTGGCCGAAATCTTCGAGAGTTCCGTAAGCATAATGAGTGTTAGGAATTACTTAATTTTTCGAAGCGATTTTTGAAGTTTATGTCTGATCATCTCTTTTTGTCACTCTTGCTTGCCTGACGAATCACACAATTCACACTTACAGTATACAGTTTGAGGCATTAGAATCTATTCATAGAGTCCCTCTTTAAAGAGCGTTTTAGAGGCTGAAAGAATCTAACTAAAAATAGTTTCTTATGCGTAAAATTTAGCTATTATATAACTGATGTGTATGATGTATCATATCTGAGAAATTGTAATTATGATATAGTAATAGATTTTATCTTAATCATAAAATGCTATTATTAACGCGTTTTTTATAAGATTTAATTATTTACACTCATGAGGCTATGAGCTTCACGAACGTCAGTTTCATGACTCAGCGTGTAAGCTAGAACGGCAAGGAAGGATGAGTAGACGCTGCTTTTAAAAATCGCCTCGAAAGTTTGAGCAATTCCCAAGAATGGCATAAGTAATAAGTAATGACGTCTAGATTTTGTGAAATTGTCGCGGTAAGTTCTTATAGACGTTATAACAATCATCCATAGCTGTTCGAGCGAATAAAGGAGGAGATGCCGAATTTTCATGAGAAGGTCGTGCCCCTCTTGCAAGTTGGTGAATTGGACGAAGAGTGCCTAGGACTTACGAAGTATGATATAGACCAAGTGATAAGTGAGGTGAGCCACTGATCACTTCTCTCAAAGTTGCTTTTATCGTATAGTTGAAAAAGAATTCATAGTAATGCAAACAAGTAAGCAAAATTTCAATTGATAAAAATATATTTTATCACAGGTATCGATAATTTTCCACTTAGCAGCGACTGTACGCCTCAATGAGGACATAAAAGTCGCTACAAAAATAAACGTGTACGGCACCTGCGCTATTTTAAACTTGGCCAAACGTATGCCAAACTTAAAGGTAATTATTCGTCTCTAAAGTTTTACTTTTTATTTATCAAGTTTTCCTTTGTAGTCATTTATTCACATATCGACTATATATGCTAACTACTTCACCGCGGTAACACACATAGAAGAGTGTTTCTACAAATATCCTATTGACCTTAAAGAATTTATCACACTGATGCGAGCGTCGTCTGAAAACACGATCGACGAAAAGATATTAAGGTGTATATTCTTATCATTTTATAATGCAAAAAGTAAATTAACATGTATGTGTAATATATGTAGAAAATGAAAGTATATCTAATGATTTTTGACAGAGCCGCTGCACAGTGGCCTAACACTTACACATTCACAAAAGCAATCGCTGAATTAGTTATTAGAGACAGCGGAAGTTTGCCAGTCGGAATTTTTCGGCCATCCATCGGTGAGTAATCAGTTATTTCAGGAAGATTGTTAACAGTTGATAGTCTTAATCTGCCTTCCGAACAATGTTGAAAGTATATTTATAGTTTTTCAACGTCAGTATTAAGACGTCAGCAAAGTACAATTTATATTTTACTTTTTCATTTTATTTTTAAATATTTTATTTCTTCATTTAGTTTCCAAATTCTTACATTATATTGAAATTTTTCCCCTCTTTAGTGATAAATACCGCCCGCGAACCGCTCGTGGGATAAATAGACAATTATTTTGGAGCAATGGGGGTGGTAGCGCCTTTCTCTAAAGGTTTAACAAGGTTTATTTTGTGCAATTCTGATTGCATGACAAATTTTGTACCTGCTGATATTACTATAAATGCTCTAATTGCAAGTGCGTGGGATGTTTTTAATCAACCGCACAGGTACGATCCAACGAGATTGACACGCCACTTTTACAGATTTGCAGTGTGGAAGTTCATACAGTTGAGAATCTGACTTTAAAAAAAAGTGCGTGTATAAATTCCTACGTATATCAGCGCAGAAATAAATTTTTCTTTATTCCTTAAAATTCTCTTGACGTGATAAATTTTTTTTTTAATTTCTGAAATCTTCGAGTCATTGTGTGGATTCTTGTTTATATACATTCACAACGAATAGTTTTTACGTTTCATTCTAAACACTCTCTAATTGTAGGAAAGACGAAAAAATGTTAATTTATAATAGCGTATCCACGAAAGATGCCCCTTTGTCTATAGACGATTATTTAACTCACATACGACTAAACGTACGAAAATATCCGGCGAGACACTGCTATTGGAAACCAATTATTACGCCAGTCAGAGATAAAATTATATATACAATATGCATTTGGTTCGGACACCTGTTACCCGCAATATTCATTACAATTTTTCAAAAATGCATAGGTGCTCCGAAAAGGTATTCGAGGATAGCGTCAAATTTACCGAAATAACATTCATGTTAATATTATTTCATCTTTTTAGCATATGGAAATTGTATAGTACAATTCACAAACTCAACAATCAAACCAGTTTCCTTCTGATGAACAACTGGACCCATACAAATGACAACATTCAGGCGATGTGGCGAAGCATGAATAAAAATGATCAGTTTCTATTCGACTTTAACATGAAAGGTTTCAACTGGCCGAAATATTTGGAAGATCATTTCAGAGGTATGCGCCTTTATCTGCTTAAGGATAATTTGAGCACTTTGGAGGTCAGTCGTATCAAATGGAAAAGGTAACGTATTTTCGATTTAATAATAACTTAAATGAATAGAGTAACATTAAATATCAATAAAAGTGTGAATGCATTAAATTCCTCTTAAAATTCTCTACAATATTGTGGACAGGAACTAACATTTAAAGAATCCAAGGCGACATTGAATTTTTATAAAAAAATTTTTATTTTTTCTGCGAATGTTAGCTTGCATGTTACAAATGAATATTCTCCTTACAACCTTTTTTCTAAACTGTCAGGAGCGCCTGAAAAATCGTGCGGACCGTTAGACAGAATACATTACATACACGTCATTCGTATATATTAATGATTATATACGCATATACATGAATACAGTTCGTAGCTAAAGAGTCAATGAAAGTAGTAGTATCTAAACAATATTTGGTCTCCCGATGTGCAAAAGTAATCTTAGAAAATATTTTGTCTCTTTGGGGTTCAAAAGATGCCAATAATGTTTGATGTTGCATAACCTGTAGCTCTTTTCATAGAACTTTGAACTTTGGTTACATTGGTTAGTTCACCAAACTCAGAAAAGTCAGGAAATTACAGCTTCTGGAGAATAGCGTAAGAAAGTTAACCAAAACGCAAAAATAGTTTTGAAGTCCAATGAATCTCGTTGGACGTTTTAGGGTTAATTCAAATTGAAACGTTGAATCATTGACGATTGTTATAGAATAGAAATGTGCTATGTATAAAGGTATTTAATTACATAATGTTATGTTTGCGCTAAATAATATTATGAATTTCAGATTGTACTGGATACATGAAGTGACAAAGATTGTGCTTTTATTCATCGTCTTTATGTTGAGCTGGAAGTTATTTTCAATAATATTTTCGTAATCTTGACTTATTGTATGCGCAATTATAATATCAATTGGGCGCAATAAGCACACATTATATAATTTTAGTGAGAGGTAATGTAACAAAATAGTGTTTATATTATAGAAAATATTAAATTTTATCATAATTACATGGCATTTCAAGGAGAATAATGGTATATTTTAAGTTTCTTTTTTAAAATGTAGAATTCAATATTTAAGTTAGCCAAATAAAATATGTCTTATACGAAACTTTTGTCTATCATCTTTCTTTTTTATGTGCTGGTATATGTTTTTCTTATTTTTTTTTATACATGTCGAAATACAGAAAGCTCAAAATCGTCCAGGTTCGGTTGAAACTGGAAATCTAGAGCGAGGGTATATAATTTCGTCCGTCAGGTAGTTAGTTAATCAGATTAAGATTAAGATTTAATGTATGACACATACGTATATACACAATATACACAAGATCGTTTTTTATCTCATTGTATTTTCTACATAAATACGTGTTTCATCTTTTAAAAGAAAAGAACAAATTATAATAAGAAATATTTATTTATTCTTTGCGATACAGCAATACTATACAATAATATAAAATTAAAAGGATTAAGAATTATGGCACATATACCTTATGGATAATATATAGCATGCGATATTAACCAGTAAGCTTATGAAGCATTCACATACACCACCGTTACTAATCAATTCACATATTGCTTTTATTTCATTGTTTTAAGACATTTTTATATATATTTTGATACAACAAATTTATTAAGTTCAAATGTACACGTTGGCCAAGAGTGGATTTCATTACATTAGAATTCATTAATTCTATAATATAGTATAATATAACATACACATGTATAATATAATATAAAAAATTCATCTTTGATTACAGTTGAACAGTGCATGTCCAACGAGACAGCTCGCTGCAGCAAGGGAAGCAGACTGACAGTCATATCATATGTCTGTCATTTTCTACTGAGTCGCCTGAAATTCGGAGAGTACACAGCCACGCTTGTGTGCGTCATCCCCTCTCAATGCTACTGGTGTTAGAGGGCGAAATTTCTGACCACACTGTCATAAATATTTGAAATAAAACATGACTGGAGATATATCTCGCGTTAGTTTGCATTTTAGTGTGAGAAAAGTGGAAGATTAATCAAAATCGTTATACCTTATGTTATATAATTAATTGTTACTTTGTGTTTACTGGGTTCTCAAATTAACTTATACTTCGCATTTCCTTTCTATATCGTTATTCGCAAGGCATATATGCATCAGACAACGAGACCCAAATATAAGTTATAATTCTTCGTAAATACCGATCACAAGGATATCTTTTCAACACTTCTATAAATGGTCTATAAACCTGCACGTGGAGCATTGAGTTACGTTCATCCGATATGTATTATGTATAATAACGTTAGGCATTCACAAGCCGAAAGAGTGAGGGAGACTGGAGATAAGAGGAGAAGAAGAATTTTCCGTGTCTCCACTACTAATTGTCAATAATGGACTCAGAAGGTTAAATGCGAAATCATCGTATCCGCGATTTGTCAGACTACATTACAAACTGCAGCAAAACATATTCACCAAAAATTTTTCTACTGCGTACAAAATTGACGTAATAAATGATTTCGTTTTTATATCTCTTTTTGGGTTTCAAAGTCCTTGCAGAATGCCAGGCAACAGGAACAAGAGATAGGGATTCGAATTGGTCAATTATTTCTATTCCCTGTTTCTATTGGCTAATATTTATTTATATTGCCTGCAGCCTGGCATTGTGCAAGAACTTTAACTCTTATAGTATATAAGAGTCGTGCTGTCGTAGTGAAGTTACCCACAAAGCATTAGGTATTCCATGTACATACATAAAAGCCCCATGATGTGAAAAAACATTCTGTATATCCACTGCACATATACATTTCATATACGTAAGATGAATATAATAACGATATATACTATGTAAAAACATTAATAGCTTTAATATGTATATATCGCACATAATGTCGCATGTATGTTCCATGAATATACATATTTTGGAACATACTTCGATAAATATCATACGTTAAAGAAAATTCGCGGTACATTCGATATCCGTGATAAATGATACATTTGGCGTGACTTAACATATGTTAAGTCTATCAAGATATATACATAAGATGTACATCACAGTATATTCATGTATAGGGTATGGCACTTACGTAAAGGTCAGTACGACGGGTTGCCTCGTCGACGGGCGCGCTGCCATAGTAGACCTTGGCGTAATTATCACGCGTTTGAACGTATTAAACTTCATAGGAAAGAAACCGCGCTTGTTGATGAGGCAACCCGTCGTGATAACCTGTATGTAAGTACAACACTCTGTATATACACACGCCGAATGTACCATTTATCACGGATATCAAATGTACTGCGAATTTCCTTTAACATACGTGCATGCGATATGTATCGAAGTATGTTCCAAAATATGTATGTATATTCATGGAATATATATGCGACATTATGTACGATATATATATATATATATATTAAAACCATTAATGTTTTTACATAGTATGTTTGTCGTCATGTATATTTATCTTATATATATGTACAATGGACGTACATGATGTTTTTTTCATATCATGGAGCATTATGGAGCTCCCCAGATATTTTTTGTGTTTCAAAGTAAAGTTTCTTTAATTATCAGAAAACAATTTATTTAAATTTACAAAATAATTTATTTGTATCTTATTTATTTTCAAAACAAGTAAATATTTTTTAAATATGCCTTTTACATACTTTTAAACATACATTTTACATTTAAAATTATCTATTCTCTTCTTTTAAATAAATAATTTGTTTTCATACGTGGATATACCATATATACACAATACAAAGCGTCTCTCAGTCAAAGTGACAGTGGCGCAGTAGGTGAACGACTCAAGAACCAGAGGTCTTCAGATTCGAATCTCGGCAAATTTGGCAAATGGTAAGCAAATTTTCGAAGTACAATTTAACTTGAATTAAGTTGCGTGTAAAACAATATAAAGTGAAAACTAAGAACATATATAGTTTATAAATACTTTGTGCTGTCTGAATTATGTATACTCGAATATTTTTTTTTATATTCATTATTTAGATACAATATATGTTTTATATATGTACGTTACACGTGCTAGTGCATATTATATTATAATGTATATGTATGTGTTATGCTCAGAGAATATACAGAGTGTATATATATGGATATGTAAAAAATATAGGATATATATACGTATGTATATGCACGGAACATTCTACGTGCCTCTTTCCAGTTACGGATATACAGACATTGTATATACATACCACATACAACGTATCCCAAGTGTACATACATAGGATATGAAATAGATATAGATAGATATAGATAGATGTTTATATATGAAATATGCTATGTATAATCTAATGTTATGTGAGTAATGTCGCTGTTGATAGCGCCATAATTTGAATCGTTTTCTTTAAGCTGTATCGTTATCGCTCGCAAGTTCAGATATGAATCCTATCGTATTTTATCGTATTTTATCTGGTTATGATTTTGTATTTTATAGGAAACTAACGATTCTAGAAATTCTAATACTATCTATTGTATTCTATTATATACGATAGAATACTATTCACATTTTGTAAATTCACGAACCAAATCCATATTTAAAATTCATATTTAGAACGATAGAAAATGATTATTTTATTCTATCGTTCTCTATAAACTTTTTTAACCAAAGGTATGCCACTATAGTGACTCATTCTTTTTTTTAATAATATAATTATAATTTATTCATCTAAAACTATATTCTATTGTGATTGCATAGTGAAAAGCATTACTAGATACAAATCGCAGTGTTGCATTATTTTCACGCAGTCCGCGTTGAACTTTGCCGTATAGAGATATAGCTTCACGCAAAGTTCCGCCGTAGCTAAGAGGTTAACCTCTTAAGGTTAATCTGCAATGTGCTCTTTGTTTCTCTGTCTTTTTTTAGTTGAAGGCTTAAGCCTGATCTACAATGTATTCTTTGCTTCCTGTTTCTTATTTTCTGTCTTTTTTTAGTTTAAAGTTTAAGGCTTGAGTCAGAAAGAGATAAAGAAATAGAAACAAAAGGCAAATAACACATTGTAGATCAAGGGTGCGTTCGGAGAGACGCTACTAGTGCTATTTATCGCTACGGGCTGTTCGCGGAGTTAGGTAATAGCGTTAACAAACACTTTCATGACGTTATGAACGGTAGCGTTCTACGTCTAAAGAACGCACTATCCACTCTATTCCTTCAGAGGTAGTGTGTAGGTAGTGTTTGCGCTTGGGAGCTCCGCGAACAGCGGAAATGTTGTATGTATCTGCGTACATAAAGCTGGCTTAATCTCAAATTGACTTAACGATCAAAGCTGATTTAAATCAAATTTATATAAACGTCACGTTGGCTGTAAAACGTGAAGAATCATGAACAGTACATATGTAAATATAGAATTGAAAGACGCGATGACAGTAGAACGATAGGTTTCAGGAGACATCCTACATCATATATTATACAAAGTGTGATTTTTTTAAATTCAAAAAAGACATTCATATTAATATATATCTGAAATGAGCTTTAAATTCGTTCGCTCTTAATGCTGTTACTGTTTCCTTCACATAATTTTCAATTCGTAGTTCATATCTTCGTATATATATATATTTCTTTGCATTATTTTTAAATCTTTGTTATCACTTTCAGGAGACGAGTCTATTATTTCATGTATAATACCAGTTACTGCAATTACTAATAGTCTCCTACGATCTTGCTCCATTTAAAGTATTAGGTAGCTTAAGAATCGGTTAGGTTTGGAGTCAGTTGTTATGAGTAGCAGAAATACGGTTAACGCTACGTCTTTGCTGTTCGCGGAGTTTACTATCACTATCGCGCTATTAGTTTTACGAAAGCAATTGATAATGTTTGCGTTGATAGTATGGATAACGTCTCCCCGAACACACCTTTAGGTATGCCACCCTTATAGAAATATCATACTAAGAATTATTAATAATTATTTATTATCCAGTATTTTTAATACTGAAAATAAGTAATTATCAATGATTCTTAGTATGATATTTCTATAAGGGCACTATAGTGGCTTTCGCATATATCATCTTTCTGAACGATACACTACTGTATTGGCTCATTCTTATTTCTAATAAATTATAATGTATTCATCCCAAACTGTATTCTAATGTATTTGCATAGTGAAAAGCGTTACTAGACACAAATCGCAGGGTTGTATGTTTTCATGCAGTCAGCGTTGAACTTTGCCAAACTATAATTTATTCATTTAAAACTGTATTCTAATGTACTTGCATAGTGAAAAGCATTACTAGATATAAATTGCAGGGTTGCATTGTTTTCACGCAGTCAGCGTTGAACATTGCCATACAGCTCTGCGGAAAGTCTTGCCGTAGCTAAGAGCTTAAAAGTAAAGACGGTATCACTATTACATCATACAGGTATTGAACACAGATAAGCTGACAGGATGAGCGACCATTTGTTACATACTAACGATTCCAACCAATCCAAAATAGGACATTGTTGGAACAAGACCAATATTCAAGAAACGCCGATACAAAATTTCTACGCGAACCAGTCGATTTTCATTACAGGTATTTATTGCACAAGTTATTATTGTATATATGCAATGCGATCAACAAAGAAATGTTAAATAAAAATTGATACATATACCGAAATCGAGGTTTTGAGGGAGTACTCGATTTAGATCCCGGATTACTGTCGCATTCTTCGAAAATTTGTTCCTCACCTTCCGCGAACATTTCAGTATTCTTCTTCAAAAAGGGGAAAAACTTTAAGCTTAACAGTGTTAACACGTGAATGACATTGAAAAACAAATTAGCAGTTTCAGTTCGTTCCTTTCCTTGACGAAATACATTACAATATTTACGAAGAGTTGAAAACAAATTCACGACGGATATAATATCAAAAACTGAAAATCAGTTCTATCAGTCGACGTAATCGGTCGAACAATAATGGTGGAATATAATTAATTAGGCGGAACTGGATTCCTCGGGAAGGTCTTGATTGAGAAATTGCTGCGAAGTTGTCCCAATATCTCTAAGATATACGTGATAATAAGATCAAAGAAAAACAAGAGCGCCACTAGCAGACTAGACGAAATTTTCGAAAGTTCCGTAAGCATAAATGAATGTTAGAAATTACTTAATATTTTGAAGCAATTTTTGAAGTCTATATTTAATCATCTCTTCTTGTCGCTCTTGCTTGTCCGACGAATCATACAATTTACGCTTACGATATTCAGCTTCAGGCATTTGAATTTCCTCATAGGGACCCTTCCTAAGGGATCTTTCAAACACTCAAAGAATCTGATTGAAAATAATTTCTTATGCGTAAAATTTTGAGTTGTTAAATATCTGAGATGTATGACGTATCATATCTATGAAATTGTAATTATATGATAATAGATCTCACGTTAGCCGTAAAGTACTATTACTAACGCGTTTTTTTAAGATTTAATTATTCACACTTATGAGGTTATGAGCTTGGCGAATGTCAGTTGTATGGCTTAGCGGGTGAGCGAAAGCGACAGAGAAAGGTGAATAGGCGATGCTTTTGAAAATCGCCTCGAAAATTCAAGTAATTCTCAGCAGTGGCATAAGTAATAAATAATGATGCTAAATCTTGTAAATTTGTCGCGGAATGTTCTTATATACTGTTATCGATGATACGTAGCTATTCGATCGGGTAAGGAAAGAGACGCCTAATTTTCGTGACAAGGTCGTGCCGCTCGTGCAAGTCAATGATTTGTATGAAGAAAGCCTAGGACTTACGAAGGATGACATTGATCTAGTGATAAATAAGGTAAGCAATTTAAATTCTACTCACCATCCTTGGCAAAGTTGCTTTTATTGTACAGTCGGAAGAAATGCATGGTAATGAGAACCTAATAAGCAAAAATTATTTGATGAAATTATTGATAGAATAATATAGCAATGATATTCAATACCACATAATGTTTTTTGATATATAGTTTTTATATCGTTACACCAAAATTAAAAACTTATTATGTTATATCAACATCGTCACAAAATACTTTGGCCTTTCAATCTTACTGAAACATGTTTACAATATTTGGAGAGATTATATATTGTCTAGTAATATTTGAAAAAATTCTAAAATGTTCGAAATCCATTTCTGAATGAACGGAATCTATATCTCTCGAGAGATATATTAAAAGTAAGCATTTCAAAAAGTTGGTCTAATATTCTTGGTTTACTGGGAAGTATACAGGTAACTATTATATATGAGATTTGTATTAAAATCAACGAGTTTAATAAATTATTTGGGTGTAGCTCCGGAAAGCACAAACCTCTGATTCAGCTGATTTTTTGTGGAAAGCTTCTCCTTAGCTCCAAAATGAAAACTCTTGAAGGATTTTTAGCGACAACATCCCGTTCGCTTGCCACTCGCGCTCAAAGTTCAAACTTTGTGTCCGCTGCTTCTTTGCGCGTCTACACATATGGGCGCGCGCGCATATGGTTGTGTGTATGTATGTGTGGGTGTGTGTACTTTTGCGTATTCTAAAAAATTATTTATTAACCTATATATGTTAGTTCTACATACGGTACTCGTATAGCTGTTACCTGTATAGTTAACGGCATCATATATTTTTTATTGAGTACACCTTTATTGAGTACACCTTATAACATGCATGTCTCATGGGAGTCTGATAGTAATTTTTGATTCTATTTCTATCTCATTGCAGGTATCGATAATTTTCCACTTAGCGGCGACTGTACGCTTCAATGAGAAGATTGAAATTGCTACAAAAATAAACGTATATGGCACCTGTGCTATTTTAAATTTGGCCAAACGTATGCCAAACTTAAAGGTAATTATTCGTTTCTAAAGTTTTACTTTTTATTTATCGAGTTTTCCTTCGTAGTCATTCATTTATGTATCGACTATAACTGCTAACTACTTCACCGCGGTAACACACGTAGAAGAGTGTTTCTACAAATACCCCATTGACTCTAAAGAATTTATCACACTAATGCGAGCGTCGTCTGAAAACACGATCGACGAGAAGATATTAAGGTGTATATTCTTATCATTTTATAATGCAATAAGTAAATTGGACAAGCATGTATAACATGTGTAGAAAATGAAAGTACAACTAATGATATTTGACAGAGCTGCCGCACAGTGGCCCAACACTTACACATTCACAAAAGCAATCACAGAAGTAGTTATTAGAGACAGCAGCGGAAGTTTACCGGTCGGGATTTTTCGGCCATCCATCGGTGAGTAATCAGTTATTTCAGGAAGATTGTTAGCAGTTGATAGTCTTAATCTGCCTTTCGAACAATGTTGAAAGTATATTTATAGTTTTTCAACGTCAATATTAAGACATTGATAATTTGTATACAAATATTTTATTTTTTCATTCTATTTGAAAATTTGTACAACATTAAAAGTTTGTATTTTTCTCTCCTTAGTGATGAGTACCGCCCGTGAACCGCTCGTAGGATGGATAGATAATTATTATGGACCAACAGCATTGACAGTTTCTTTCTCTACTGGCATAATAAGGTTTATCAGGGGCGATCCTGATTGTTTGGGGAATTTTATGCCTGCCGACATCACCATAAATGCTCTAATTGCCGCCGCGTGGGATGTTTTTAATCAACCGCAAAAGTATGATCCACCGTGATAAGCATCATTTTTACAGATACGTCAAATGCAATGTAAAAGTTCATACTAATGAGAATCTGGCTTCAAAGAAATGTGCCTGCATAATTCCTCTGTTTAACAGCTAAGAGATAAAATTTTCTTTATCTTCTAAAATTCCCGAGTCGTGATAAAATTTTTTTCATTTCCAAAATCATCGAGCCATCATCTGGATTTTCCCACAGCGCGCGCGCGCATATAAATAATTCTTACGTTTTATACTAATTTCTTCCATTTTCGAATTGCAGGAGAGGCGACAAAATGTTAATTTATAATAGTGTATCGACGAACAATGCGCCTTTGTTTATGGGTAATTATGTCAATTATCATCGATTAATCGTTCAAAAATATCCGATGAAACACTGCTATTGGATGCCAACTATAACAGTGGTCAAAAATAAGATTATATACAAAATGTGCATTTGGTTCGGTCACCTGCTGCCAGCTATATTCATAGAAATCTATCAAAAATGCATAGGTGCTCGGCAAAGGTATTTGAAGATAGCGCCGTATGTATCGGAGTAACTTTCTCGTTGATGTTATTTCATCTCTTTCAGAATATGGAAGTTGTACGAGATGTTTCACAAATATCAGAACGCAGTTAATTACTTTAAATTGCACAGTTGGACGCACAGCGAGGATAATATTCAGGCGATGTGGCGAAGCATGAACAAAAATGATCAGTTTTTATTCGACTTTAACATGAAAGGTTTCGATTGGCAGAAATATTTGGAGGATCATTTCAAAGGTGTACGCCTTTACCTGCTTAAGGATGATTTAAGTACTTTGGAAGAGAGTCGTATCAAATGGAAGAGGTAATATATTTTCCTTAATTTATATTTAATAATAATTTAATTAAGTAAAATAACATTACATATCATTAAAGATTAGAGTGCATTAAATTCGACTCAAAATTCTCAAAAATATCAAGGAAAGAAACTGATATTTGAAAAATTCAAGTCATTGACTTTTTTATAATAAAATTTTTATCTATTTTTTTTGCATGTGGAAATCTACATGATATAAATGAATATTCATCTTACAATCTTTTTTCTAAATTATCGAGAGCGCCTCAAAAATCGTGCCGACCATTACACAGAACACTTTATATATTTGTCATTGGGATATTAATAATTATATATACGTACATTAATAATTATTATATTTACATATAATTACATTATATTATTATATATTAAATAATAATAATATTATATATTATTATATTTATAATTATTATATTAATATAATATATTATAATTATTATATTAATATATTAATAATTATATACGCACATATATGTATACCATTCGCAGCTAAAAAGTTAACAAAAGTAATTTGTAACAGGTAACAGTTGATATTCTAACGTGAACAAATAATTTTAGAGAAGTTTTTGTCTATTTGAGGTGTTACTTTCTTTGTGCATCACTTTAAGTTTTCGTCACAGAAGCCGGAGAAAGTTTTTGCTACGCTAATTAGTTCACTAAACTAAAGAAAGTCAGAAAATATAGAGTTTCCAGAAAGTAACGTAAAAGAAAATTAGCTGGAGCGTAAATGTGGTTTTGGAGTTTACTGGACCCCGTTAGTGAGGTTTAGTGTTAATTGAAATTGAAATGTGTTGAATCATTGACAGTTATTATGAAATACAAATATATAATGTACAAAGCGCATTTAATTACATATTTTTACATTTGAGGTTAAAATAATATTTTGAATTTCAGATTGTATTGGATACATCAAGTGACAAAGATCGTATTTATATTCATCGTATTCATGTTAGTCTGGAAGTTATTTTCAGAAATATTTTCGAAATCTTGATTTATTCCATGCGCAATTATAATATTAATTGGGCGCAATAAGCACGCATTATATAATTTTTATGAGAGATAATATAAAAAGAATAGTGTTTATATAAAAATATTAAATTTTATCATAACTACATGACATTTCAAGAAGAATAATGGTATATTTCATTTTTAAAATGCAGAATCCGATATTTAAGCCAGCCAAGTAAAATACATTTGTCTTATACAAAACTTTTGTCTATTATTCTTTTTTTATATGCTTGTATATTATAAGTTTTTTTTTATTCTTTCTTATACATACCGAAATACAGAAAGCTCAAGATCGTCCCGGTTCGGTTGAAACTGGAAATCTAGAACGAATATATTTTCGTTCGTGAGAGAGTTAGTTTATCAGATTAAGATTAAAATTTAATGTGAGACATACGTATATATACATAAAATTTTTTATCTCATTGCATTTTATACATAAACACGTACATGTCTCATCTATTAAAAGAAAAGGACAAATTGTAATGAGAGATATTTATTTATTCTTTACGTTACAGCGATACTATATAATAATATAAAATTAGGACAATTAAGAATTATGGCGCATCCCGGAAAAAAAAAATTATATATAATTATATATAAATTTTTATTATTATATGTGATTATATATAAATTTTATATATATATATATATATATATATATATATATATATGACTTTATATATGATCATATCTAGTTATGTATGTCCATATTTAAAACGAAAATTGTCAAATGAAAAAGGGAAAACATAATTTGTTTCGATTAAACGTCGACATCATGGGCTACTATAAACATAAGCATTTAGTACAATTGTATCTTCACAATAGTATTCTTTTCAATGTCGACATATATAATTATATATGATCATATATAACCATATATGGACAAAATATATACACTTTTTTTTCCCGAGATATATCTTTTTTCTGGGGATGTATCTTGCGGATCGAACGACGCATGCGATGTTAACCAACGAGCTTATAAAGGATTCACACCGCGTCCGATATTCGACGCATAACGTCGATATCCAATAGGATAATTCCAATAGTTTTCTCGAGATAAAATCCTACCAACTAGAAACTTCAGCAAACAAACTTTATTATTAGATATCGGATCATCGATGCGGTGTAAATCCTACATTATCGACGTCTAGTCATCCTTCTTACTGGAAGGCAGAACAACTAACGACGGTGTCGAAACTAAAATAGTCCTGGAATAAAAGAAAATGTTATCATCTGGTATATGGCGGGGCAGTTGATTACGATATCTCCACGACTTAATGTAGGCTCATTCTGTATTTAAAAGACTGTAAAACTGTGGAAGAAAATTTCTAGAAACGGAAAGTAAAATAAAAATCCTTCTGTTCAAATCATCTCTGTTAAGGAAAAAATGTATTTTAATCAATACATTCGTATTAACAAAAATCATAGTTCTTTGTGAGAAACTTGAGCTCGTTCGTTTAATATTCATAACGTTAGAATTTTTTGACTTTGCCGTGGATTACTTTGACCCTCTATGGGTGATTATCGTTTTTAGAAAATAATAATTTGGAAATATTTGATATTTATTTTCGTGCTGGGTTGAACAGTATTAAATTTTTCGCGGATTAAGTTTTAATGTGTTGTAAAATGTTGGATCGCATGTCTCTGGACATTCAGTTAAGGATCTCGGATGGAAGAGGCTCTTATTGACGAAATCGTGACAAATATAATACGTAAGAGTCCGCTAGTGGATACACTTTATTTAAAACGACTTTCAAAAGACATCTAAAAAATGTTTGGAAGATGTTTAAAAAGAAAGTACGACGTCCCTTGGGAATTTGTGCCGCCTGGTTAGCTTCTCAACTGTCTCTGCATCTACCGTATGCTAAGTTAGGAATTTTTCAACCTTGTACGCGAGTTTCCGTGAGCTCCAAACATTCTCAGCATCAGCTTGTTGGATCACACTTGTACGTTTGAGTGAAAACTTTCCAAGCAATGACGATTAAAGCGTTCACGATGATGTTGATTTTGCAGTGAAGCTGTTTTGATGTTGATGTGACTTTGATGTTGACGGGTACAATATTTGCCATATTGTTGGGATCACAGATGAGAAATCGCAGTAGATTGTTGTAGCAGAACACCAATATTCCATTCGACCCGTAATAATTATCTATTCATCCCGTGATTGGATCGCGGGCATTGAAAGCGACTAGATTGAAAAATTAATGAGCGATTTAGGATTAATCCTTACACACACAATAAATACTGTTGTATTAATGAACTGATCTAACTGTTGTATAAATTAAACTGAGTAAACTTTTTTTTATAAATTGTAAGTAAATCTTCTTGATCTAGTATGTAATTTTATTATTAAAGTTAATACATCATATGTTATTTTAATTAGAGATGTGTGAATCAAAGATTTTTAATGTCGAATCGAATCGAATCTCAGATTTTAATTTCGAATTCGAATCGAATCAAATCGATGAAGTTTCATCTGAATCGAATGGAATGAAATCAAATAGAATCGTTAAAAGAATTTTTAATTAACATAATCATTGAATTCAGCATGAAAATACTTGACTTCAGTAACTAACAGAGAGAGATAACATTGATCATGTGATATCAGTTCATTTTAAGGTAAGAGATATATAATATATAGTCGATAAACGTGTATGAAATACAGTTCCAGCCTTGAAAGCTGCGCAACGACACATATCGACAGTTGTCGGTAAGAGTTTATCTAGAAGCCATTATCTTCTTTTAATATTTTTGAAGAAAATCTTAATGTATAGCAAACTTTTCAAGTCATACTAATTCCCGTAAGGATGGATGTCTTTAATAGTTCTTGCTAATGTGCGCGATCCGTATTCGAATCTTTTCGATTAGAAATTTTCGAATTATTCGGACTCGAGTTTGAATCGAATCAAGTAAAATTCGAGTAGTTCGCACATCTCCAGTTTTAATAACTATGTTTTTTTCGAATCAACACGCAACGTGTTACGTTACGCTGTCTCTCAACGCGCACGCGCGTGCGACCGACACCTTCTAATGGCCCAATTAACAAATAATCTATACACAATCGCGGAGTATTCCGGAGAGTACTAAGTGACACTTCCTCTTATCTGCGTTATAAATCTCCCGTGACACAGAACGAATTCGTCGCGGAAAGAAGGAAGAGGGAAAAAACCGCGGAAACGCGTGAACAAATATAAAACGAAGAGAAAAAAGATAACCGTTGTTATGCAGTCACTTACATTATGTAATGTCATGAGTGGATAGACCGCCGTCGCTTTCAAGCCTTCGAAATACAAGCGGCTGATGTCACGAGGCGTTAGCGCTTAATGCAAATAAATCTGTCGGCCGGACAGACGTCAGGCGACAATCGGAACGTGTGAAACAGCGAGTGGACAATGATGCGATTCGCACTTGCGATCGGACTTGACAGTCATGTCTCAGTCATATAATAGTCACGTTGTGAAAATCGCGCTATCGGCCAAATGGCGTCCGCCTGTTTCTTCTGTTGCCATTATCTCTTATTTCTCGTCCATTGGCCTCACAATGGCAGATTCCGCTTGCTCATGACCAAGGATTGCTCCCATGGATGCGGGTGTAGCGGTAACATCGCGTTACCCTCCGCGAGGAAAGGGTGCGAGCTCGTCCTCGGGGGCGCGCGCGTCAGCCCCCAGCTCGCTTCGCGAGGCTATCGATTTTACTCGCAAGCTCAGCTTTCCTTGGCCGAAGATGACGCCATGGCCGTCTGTTCATTGGCTGGGCAGACTTTGAACTTCCGCCATTGGCTGGCGAGCCGGTATATACACTGTACTCTCCCGTGACTCCTTCCAGTTGTGTTGTTACCCACTCACTGTACACTTGGTAAGTAGCCTGCGGATTTTGCACGCTACACTTACTACTCTCCGCGACGCAATTCAACGCAGCTAACGCTGCACATTACATTCGTTCACGATTGCGTTTACAATCGCGCGCGTGCGTCAATACGGGGCTCAATAAGTCACTTTTTTCATCTTGTTAATCTCGTAAAATTTCAAAACACTTCAAGTTATCACGTAAAATTCTAAGTTATTCTAAGATTGGTGCATTATCGCGCACAACTGTACTTCTTTAATCGATAACTAAATACGTACGTGGTCATTTGAAAGAGAGTATTTTTTTGCTCAGTTTGACCTGATATGCTAGCAAACAGCGGGAGACGTCGCCATCGCCGCTCATCTACACAGAGAGAACGATTTGGTTGAATCAAATAAACTCTTCTTTGAAACAAAATTTTTCTTATTGATCGAACAAAATTTTGTTTGACGCAACAAAAATATTTATTTGCGACTGTTCCAAAAAAAATACTTTCGTTGTGTCAACCAGATAATTTGTTTGGACTATTCCAAAGAAACTTATTTATTTGATTCAATAAATCGTTCTCTCTGTGTGCTGTATGACGCGTGATAATTTACGAATCTTGTTGGATTAATAACTCAAGTGTGATTGTTCGCAAAACGGTAGAGAGACTTTTTGTTCAGTTTGACTCTATTCGCGGCTCCTCCGTGAGTTACTGGACACTCTGTGTATGTCAAAGGTTAAATAAACTCGGGGAAATATAATTGTTGACTTGACACATATATCACGCCAGGCGCGTTATATGATATCTCCCGCTTGTCGTGTCGTTGCGTCGCAGTATTCGGCGAGGAATCGATGTCTGCTGACATTTGGACTGCAAACCGCAGTTTTGCGACGCTTTTATCGCGTCGATTCCATGAGACACGACAGCTGGCCGCGACACGTGACTCTCGAGCCAGTTTCCGAAGTTACACGCAAATAGTTTCGTCATCGGAAAATTCGCGGAAAACTCGTTTTGGGGCATTTTGGCGAGGAGCGCGACGTGGACGTAAGAATAGGGTGCGATCGATTTTGCAACGATGACACTACGCTGCCGCGCCGAACAATTGGCGGATAAATGGATATTCCACCTGTCGCTGTAACGTCTGAGTTTCACTGAGAAGAAGATAGTTGAACGCGAGAGAATCTAATCTAAACCAAAGAGATAAAAGCGTGGTTAATCTAACGAAAACTATAATCCATGCAACACAACGTCTAAAATTGGGACATAAGACGTCTTAAAGACGTCTTAAAGACCTCTTGGGGATGTCTTACATTCCGACGTCTGAAAAACGTTTTTAAGATGCCTTTCAGACTAATGTTCCAATTTTAGACGTTGTGTTGTGTGGATATTATCTTTAGCCCTATCGTTTGGTTGTCCTAACACAAAAATGCTAACATGCGTACAAGGCTATGATTACTAATATTAGAAAAATCTTTTCCACCATAATCTGTAACGATTATTTCTCTCTATCTTTATGTGATTACAGTTACAAATAGCAGATATTTTTCTCTTAATGCTTCTCCGACTTCTCGCGAATCTGCTACCTTGTACTACGTGTACGATACTACATGTATGTAAATGCGTGTTAGGCGAAGGATAGCCGGCCTCGCGTGGGAGAGCTTCTCCACTGAGACCGAGTTCGCTAGACGCATGCTCGATGGGTCGATTTTTGCGCATCGCGTCTTTATCGACGTCCGCAGATCGGGGCAGTCGCGGATGAGACGCGTCTTCGATTCGATACTCTCACATTTTTTCTTCTCTTCTCTTTTATTCAGACTTTGATGAGGACGATGTAGAACAGGCAGACGCGAGCGAGCTGGCCGGTTGAATTAACTGCAGACGTCGATAGAGACGCGATGCGCGAAAATCGACCCGTCGAGCATGCGTCTAGCGAACTCGGTCTCGGTGGAGAAGCCTCTCCCACGCGAGGCCGGCTCGCGTTCACCTAACACGCATTTACATACATGCATACATGTAGTATCGTGCACGTAGTACAAGGTAGCAGATTCGCGAGCAATTTCGCGGACAATTTCGCGAAGCGCAATGCAGCGAATCGAGGACGACTAAGTTCGCGTGTGTACGCGAAGCGCAGACGGTCGCGACATCGATTCGCGAAAAACTCGCGCGCAGCTGGACGAAGCACGACGAAGGGCTTTCTACCGGGAAGAAACGCTTTCGCGTGTAATTCTGGGTTGCAATTTCGTTCGTCGCGCCTCAATCATGTGTGACTCATGTACGCGAGTCGTCGATCGATCCGTCCATCCACTGTTTGCGTCATATTTTGCGACAAGCAACGCGAAAGCTCGAACTTGACACACTGTGACCTAGAAAGGTGCGGGCAGGTCCGTGTGAGATCGTGAGCGGTGGAATTTCTGGAGGGATTAGTTACATTTAACCGATCGGTCGGTGTAACAATTTTCTCTTATTTATAACTAAAAAATTTACATTTAATTAACAGTTTACATTTAATTAACATTTAATTTACAGTTAATTGCGAGATAATAAGGACTTTTTTGTTCAATTTCATCTAATGTACAAGCACACAATAACACACATCGCCACTACCATGTCGCGCGTGATTATTCACCAATCTTCTTTAATTAATATCTCGATTATTATTGCGAATATCGCAAGACGGCATAAAACTTTTATGTTCATGAAGGAGGTTTGGGGCATCCTGTATACAACGTGTGTAACATTAATAATTACAACATCGCGAGAAAGAAAGAGAGAGAGAGAGAGGGAGGGAGAATAAATTATAAAATCGATTTTATACAGTCGCAATTATTGATGTTATTGAACTGGTTTTAGGTTGCCGCGTAAACGCAATTATTGAGACGCAATTATCGAGACGCAAAATTTGGTGATAATCTTGACGCAATCTCGAGATAAGAAAGGAACGCGTAGAGTACGGTGACTAATTCGGTTGGAAATGAATGAGAATGATGTGTTGGTATCGGTTACTGCGTTTTGCGAAACACCGGAGTGACGATACTTCACCATTTTCCGCCTATTCCGCGCTTTTCCGTCGACGCAACGGGAATAATCGATACGCACCTTTCGTCCTTCGCGCCGACGTGTCTGCGTGCGATGCAAGGATTCCGCTTGAATTCCGCGTTTCGAAGGCTATCTCGAGTTTTCCGAAAGGAGGGCAGAATGCGATTAGCGTATGATTAACGCTTTACAATCGCGACGTGTATTAATTTGATAACTACATTCATTTAACGCGCCTCAGTTTATTAGTGATCAATGCTCCACTTATGGGGTATTTTGTAACTTTATAACACGCAAATGAAGAGCGTTTTTGTCACTCAGTCAATAAAAAAAAAAAAAAAAAA